TTACATGTTGAACAAAATAAAGTAGGTAAGTCTGAGGGCTCACACCGCTAAAATCCGGATTTCGATACACGTGATGGGCACAGCACATATAGTAAATTGTGTACCTTTGTGCTTAACAACAGAGACAGAAAAGAAGTCTGTCTTCTATGTTTAGTTCTTGACTTCCATAATGACTATCATGTCTGAAGACAGACAGGGGGAACCTCACGCCGACTACACGTGATGGGCACAGCACGTATAGTAAATTGTGTACCTTTGTGCTTAACAACAGAGACAGAAAAGAAGTCTGTCTTCTATGTTTAGTTCTTGACTTCCATAATGACTATCATGTCTGGAGACAGACAGGGGGAACCTCACGCCGACTACACGTTAACAGAACAGGATAGGTTTGAGGGTGGTTTTCTGATGATGTGGGAAAGAACCTGTTATAATGGACATACTATTTCTACATTGTCAGGAATACTGCTTTGAATTCTATAATAGGGAATAGATCTTAGCATCTGTTGTTAGGTTGTTTGCTGATGCAATTGGAGTTGATTTTATTTTGATGAAATATATTGTTCTTCCCCATCGTTACTGCCTATCTTGAAATTAATGTGAGAATGGATAAGGCAGCATTTTCCCCAGGACACATCTGGGACCAACGTCATGAAGAGATCTAAAGGCTATCTTTCACCCACCAAACATTCTGTACAAGTTAGTAAACATCTTGTGAGGGGGAGGGGAAACCTTCCTGAACACACACCCTGGGTGAACAGTTACGTTGTAGAATTATGTTTAATGATCGAGGTGGGCATACTTGTTACTAAAGTACATATAAACATCCCGAGGACTCTGTGCTTTGATATTTCTGAGCCATGGTATTTGTGCAAACAATTTCCCACTAGGAGGCGTGACATGTCAAGAGTCGCCGCAGAAAACTTTTCAGTTCACAGCTCAACATGTTAAGATCTGACCACTCTCATTAACAGCGTGCGAGTTAAAGTTTAGCTGTTTGCAAAATATATACAAATTATTTATTAATTTTTCATGAATTTTGTCAGCATGATAAATTTGTGTAATAATAGCGTTTTGATGTATATGAAGTTTAGCTGAAATTATAACATAAAGGTCATTGCACTTGACGAACGTTGTAACGAAGAGCTACATAAGCTTTACACTTTATGCTTTTTGTTAGTTTGTTTTAGAGCAAAGCTACACTGGGCTATTTGCTTTGTCCATCGCGGGGGATCGAATCCTGGATTTTAGTGTTGTAAGGCCGTAAGCTTACCGCTCTTTAAACATCAGTACGTTAATATTTTTAACCTTTTGTATAGTTGTTGTACGTTATATGTGTTAATCGAATTTTGATTTTCTTAATATGCACGTCTTGTTGTTTTGTATTTATACTTATATTTAGGCAGCCAAAATGTGTTTTTGTTTTGTTCTGCTCATAAAACACATTCATTTATTTCAATCTTCTTACTTGATTCTGCAATTTAGTTATTTAATATATCCATTATGAAGCTTTTCTCTTTTATATTGTGCCTGTGACTTTTTTTTTATCTAGTTTGAACAGAGATAGATTACGTCAACGTAGGTCAGCGCAAAAGCACACTCAAGAAAGAGAAAGTGAAGTGTGAAGTAAAACAAAGCATAATACAGTGTATTTGTTTCAAGTGAAGTGTGAAGTAAAACAAAGCATAATACAGTGTATTTGTTTCAAGTGAAGTGTGAAGTAAAACAAAACATAATACAGTGTATTTGTTTTAAGAGAAGTGTGTGTAGTAAAACAAAGCAGAATACAGCGTATTTGTTTCTTGAGTGTGAGGTGCGGTCGTCTACTTTCAGAGTATGCTACTATTTGTCACTCTTCTTTTTTTTTCTTTATTTGTTGTGAATCACAAAAGCTACACAATGGGATATCTGTGCTCTACACATCGCATGCATTAAAACTCGATAATAAGCATTATAAGCTCTCAGATTTGCCGACACTTTTTAATCCAGGAAGTGATTCTTGTGCTGATTATGGTGAACTAAGGCTTAAGATTTGTTTAAGTTGATGTTTTCATAAATCTTTTGGATTCTCAGAGCAAGACATATCTAGTTTATTGTATTCAAAACAATTCCAAATGAATCGTCCGAATTTCATTTGATTTTTAAGACTATATATGTACGAGTATTTTTTTTAACCTTGGTTAATTTTGGTTAAATATCATAACCACGCGAAAGCATATATACATTTATAAAATTATTAATTAATAATCTCTCAATACAACTAAACCAAAAATGATGGCTACGCTAAACTAAACTAAGGAAAATAGTCCATAACTTATATTACTCCTGAGAGTCTATAACACTAGAAATCGGGTTTCGATACCCGCGGTATAGTTTTGTGCTTACATTAAAACATACAATATTGCACACTTAATTAAGTCTTGGATTATTACACTACAGTGTGAAAGATCCATCATTGAACATGAAAGACATTTCAATACAATTTAAATACATGTTTGTTTGTATTGGATTTCGCGCAAAGCTACACGAGGGGTATCTGCGCTAGTTGTCCCTAATTTAGCAGTGTACGACCAAACATGTCAATACCACCCACCGCTAACTCTTGGGCTACTCTTTTACAACCGAATAGTGGGATTGGCCGTCACATTATAACGTCCCCACGGCTGAAAGGGCGAGCATGTTTGGTGGGACGGCCATGCCGAGCCACATGTAAATACGTCGCAGTATTGAAATCGTGTAGTAATTATAATTTAGTGGATCAGTTATTGGGTATCTTTGTTGTTAAGTATTAGAAAACTTTTATTTTTTTCAAGCGCAAAGCTGCATGATAGGCAATTTGAGCCGTGACCATCTTTTGGGATCGAATTTAAGCTTCTAAGCCCTCAAGCTTACCACAGAGCCACTGGGAGAACTGTTAGAAAAAAAAAGTGAAGTATTTAGTTTATTACAGCAGTTTTGTTTGTCATATTTTAACATCAGTTTGATTAGTAAATAACTGAAATAAAGCAATCTACCTCACTGCAGACTATAAAAATGAATTGCGAAAATATTATTAAAATGAATTTAAAAAGGCCAATTTTTACTTCTGTTCTCCGCAGTGCTCACATCTTTAACTTAATGTGTCATGCAAAAAAAACAAACAGTTTTTCTCAGAATTTTCCATAAGTGGCATTCTGCTGGATCCTATAAGTATAAGAGTGGGGAGTGAAAGAGGAGCTTGATAAGGAAACATATTAACTGGCCTTTATAATTAATTTATCAAAGAATTCTATTTTGACACGGCTGTCGTTGCTCATAAGAAGTCAATGACCGATGAGAAACATATTCACACGCGCATGTGAGTCTGAGTCGGCCGAGAGTTTCAACGAACAAACTCTCATACTCTTGCGCTCTTTTCCTTTTTCTTTTTATTTCACGAAACTAAATTTCACGAAATGACGTCTCTGAGTGCATCCAAGAATATTTAATCAACCATTAATACTTCTTGACATATCAAGATATAATCTTTGATTTAAATTTTAACTTTTTCTTTAGCATTAAATACTTTAAACTGTTATTTCAAGTTGTCCTTTTACTTAGAGAGTCTGAGTTAAGGGCTGATCAGTCAGTGTTACGTAAAGAATTAGGGATGTTACGAACTGTGTTACATGGGGGCAGGGCTGACGAGAGTGGGGTCTTTTGAGGGGGGTCCGTCAGTGCGGTATTCCAAAGCACACTACTTAACGAGCTAAAATGGCTACTGCTTTTTCGTGGATTCGTGAAAAAAAATTGTCCCCGAAATTTCTTTCTTGAAAAATCAGCAAACGTTAATAAATAGAATGAAATGGGGGCCCGATGATATTACTGACCCCGGGGCCTGGGCAAACTCTCGACGCCCCTGCATGGGACTGTCAAAAAGGGAGAAAAAGTTGTGTTACGTAAATTTTGAACGACTCCTACTCATATGTATATGTGTTACTCAGATTCGAAAAGTATGAACCAAAAGACAAGGAAGCATAATTTACGTATTAGGTAAAGCATAATAATTGAATAAATTTGTAAGTTATCATCTGTGAAATCAAGTTTTCTTGTTATTTTGATCATACGTTAGTTTTCCATAGAAATCAGATATTTTGTCAAGGTCGCGACGAGAAATTCAGAATCATGCACACTGAAGAATTACTGTACAACTGAAATTCATCAGTTGAATAGTTTAAAGAGAAAAGAACACGCAAGTGCGAGAGTATAAAAAGAGGTTTGGACTACTTTAGTTCCCACGGTTTTGTACGTCACAAAAATTTGAGAATCAAACAGAAAATTGTTAAGATACTGATATTTGTATTTTATTTTTAACGCCTGAGCCCTTTTTATTATAAACCTACTTAAGCCAACTTTTAGTAATAATTATTATTTTTATCACAACTTGAAATATAATCGAAAATCCAGATGTATTTTTACAATATTTTTATTATTATCGTAATTCATTAAAACAATCGGGTTTAGAACAATGAAATGTATTTCACACAACATTCTCGTTCCCCGGTGGATCTGCGGTAAGTTTACAGACTTTCAACGGGGCTCGATTCTTGTGGACAAAGCGCATAATAGCCTATTGTGCAGCTTTTCGATACAAAATCGACAACAACAATACGAAATTCTTGCAAATAATGTTAACTTGATTGCTACCGAAAGAAAGTTGTGTTATACGTTTATATCATTTTATTTTCTTCCAAGCCTAAGATGTTTTGATTATACTTACTAAATAGGGACTTTTGTATTACGCATTATTTACTTACGGTAATATACTGCTCTCTACTGTTATTTTCTATCTGTAATTAAATTAAAGAAAGAAAGTTTCCCTTTTTTTTATTACCAAGGCTGCTTGCTGCCTGCCAACATTCGAGTGAGTGAGTGATGTAATGACCACGTGATTCGTTAATGTTGCTATGCCTGTCTAGAGAGCACGCAGCTAGTTTGTATTTAACCGTTTCTAGTGATCAGTAGACTGGCAAACTTGGCGAGAAACATGCAAAGTTGTTTGTGCCCAATGGGAATTTCAAAACGTATTAATAACCCGATATCACTTCATATGATTTAAGAGAAGAAATTGAACTGAACTGCTCTGAAGTAGGTATTGCTTTCTATTCTATCTGTTTTAAGCGGATGCAACGAGTTTCTTGAGTCTATTGTTCATCTGCTCTGCTTGAGCTAGAAACAAAAAGTCTAGTACAGTTTCTTGTCGTATCATTTTTGATATTTCACGTTAATAATTTTATACAGCTGAAATTTTATATTCATACAGGAGTGGATCGCACCGACTGTTGTAGCTTCAAGCACGAAGACTTTGCAAGAATTATGTAGAATTGATAGCGAAATCATTTGTTTGAAAGTATATATTGCTGTGGTTTAAAAAAACAACAACAACAACACAATTTTATGATTACCTTGTAAAAAACCGAAATTCGTGTTTGTTAGACATTTACGCTTGAAGACTCCAAGTAAGTATTTAAAACTAAAACGTTTATCAAATATGTGATGTAAAAATATATTTAAAAAACAATGATTCAGCTTCATTTTGAAGCTTTGTACTGTCAGTTGCGGTTTGTGTTTTAGTAAACGCTCCTGAAGAAGCTGTAAAGAGAAACGTTGAGTGGCTGGCTAATTGAATAAAAACAACATTTTGGTGTTTTTAGGTCGTTTATTTCTAGTATTAATATGTTTTCTATACACAAGTATGCACTACAGAAATTAAATAATGATCCAGCTGTTAATGTATACAATAGTTTTTATTATAATAATGAGCTTGTACTAATTTATGTTTAAAACTCTTTAGAAGGGACATGTTAACGGATTTAACGAGTGAGTGAACTGTTTGTAGAATTTAGAGGAACTTGGATTAGGTAGTTATGTTACTTGCTACGACTCAGCTATAGGAGTTATGAATCACTTATCCGCGTGTGTGATCGAACCAATGTTGTTGTTTTTTAGAGAATTAAGCAGATATGGGACTATAGTTCTCTGGATAAAGAAACATGTTGTTACCTCTAAGTTATGGCCTGGAAGTGATCCGTTTTCTGGACCAGACTTCTCCAAGACCAAGAACAGGGACGGATCCCCATTACTCAGACAATGAAGTTCACCGTCATAGGTAAGATATTTGTGGAACATTTCCGGTATTTGTAGAGAGTTGGTCGATTTAATCCAACCAATCAGATACCAAGATAGCATCTTGTCAAATTTAGTGTTATTACAGTTTATAAGTTAGTTTCTCTTGCATGAAAATAACTTATTTTTAAAAGGTTCTATAAAGTGTGTAGATGCTTTTAAGGGTAACATAGAAAGTTGGTGATAAAAGACACTGGGTATTTTTGTTACCACCCTGAGTATCTAAAACACTGGGATGTTTTTAAACCTGACGCACTTAGATTCATTGGGTATTTTTGTTACCACCCTGAGTATCTAAAACACTGG